AAAACGTGGAAGACCCTTGATGAGCTGCATTGACTCAGTGGCTACAAAAGTGGGTTCAAACATTACAGTTCTGAAAAGTGTTCCCTCCTGTTGTGTGCAGGGTCACTATGAGTCAGCACTGACTGGGCAGCTAACAACAACAACTGAACACTGAAATCATTTACAAACTTTCCACACAGCAGTGTCTTTAAAATGCACGTGTTTGAATAATGTACCTTTCATTTGCAAAGTCTCTTCTAATGTATTTTATAACATTTATTTGACAAGGAAAGGTTGACTTCTGGAAAGAAAATAAAGATTATTTCCTTTTAAAAGAGAAATCAGTAAAACCAAAAGAAAAAAACACAAAACCTAGATTTGAATGAAATATTCAAACCCCCTTCCTCATTGTACTCCCAGCAAAAAAGTAAATATTTTGTAAGAAAGGTAACTAATATTAAAAAGCTAGCAAATACACTTAAAGGCTAGCAGCACCCTCCGTCCCAATCATGAAAAGGAAGAAGCTGCTGAAAGATGAAGCTTCTTTTCTCTGAGGATGAAAAGACAGGGAGGAGCCACGAAGAGTCTAGAACACAGCCAAGATGACAGCATCAAAGAAATGTGAATTCTTCAGGTGCTGCAAGTCACCCTGAACAATACAGTCACAATGAAATTGGATTAAAAGCCACCCTGGGTGTGTTGTGTGTTATCTAGCTGATAACGGCCATGTGGATGATCTTACTGCTTATGCTGTTAGTCCACTGGTTGGTAGAGTTCCGTCCACTCAACTCCAGGTTTTGTTTTTAATACAGGGAAAAGACTAGCGCTCACCAAATATGCTGACAGGATCTATACAACCGGCTGGCTACTTCCCTCGCAATCAAATGGTGGTTGTGAGGAGGTGCCACTGGGTCAGTGCCAACAAATAGTGACCCTGTGTACAACAGCTTGAAGCCATGCCAGTCCTATGCCATCCTCACAAGTGTTGTTACGTTGGAGCACTACAACCAGATTTTACAAATCCCACTTCTACCTTATAATTAAGGTTATAAACAGAAACCACGGCTGACTTCTGTTTAAGAAGCTTTCCTTTCCAAGTGCTGGTTTTCACATGGCATCACCAAGGGCTCAATATAGCAGATATTCCTAAATCATATTTTTATAAAAGTGAAGTGTGATTGTCTTATGTCTATTACACAAGATATAATTATTAATTTCATTAATGGCTTCACAATTAATCACACCTAGAAATGAGGCCCTTTACTCCTGTAAAGAGGTACAGTCTTGGAAGCCCACAGGGGCACTTCTATCCCATCCTACAGGGTCACTATGAGTCAGAATCAACTGGATGGCAGTGAGTTGGGTTGGGTTTGTATTCAAGGTATATCCGAGATTAGGATCCAGATACCTAGTTCTAGGCCTCGTGATCCAATGCTTTACAAGGAATTATATCTTGTGTATATTTGACCATTTATATTGCCAATCTAATTCAAGAAATCTAAGCAAAATATAGCAAACTCAGAAAAGCCTCTTTTGTCTATGCATTTTTTGTCAAGTACTTGGTAGTCATTGGCAGTTTTGCATGTCAAAGTAGAACAACTTTACTAAACATCCTGAATCTAACCTGGAACAGCTGGGATGACAAATCGTGCTTTTAAAAACACGAATGTCAAAATGATCCTGCTGCTATTGTCATAAATGTGCCCAATGCATGTTTCTAGAGTTTGAAGTCTTGCCGATGAGAATGCGGTCGTTTTATCTTATGGCGAAGATAAGAAGGGGCAGAGATTCAGGTCTAAGCGTGATGAAAATACCTAGCAAATCAGGTCTGGTGGCGCAGGGGAAAGTGAAAATGCCTCAAGCTTTTTTAGAATGAATCTGCTAGACAACGGCATCACTCCTCACAAATGGACACGTAAACCTCCAGAAGACTTAGGCTCAAAAGAGTGTGTGTTTGGGAGGAAGAGTACAAAGGAAAGGGACTTCATTTTTTGAAATATTCTTTTTATTTGAGAAGAAAATCATAAAACATAAAATAAAAGAAAAATTAAACTAGTCTTTAACATATAAAAAAACAAACATAGCTAGTCTGGGTCCTTAAACATAGTTAGATAGACACTCAATAAATATACTTACTATAGCTTTTTTTTTAATCTGGGGGAAGGGAAACAGTGGTCAGTGGACGATATGAAAATCCTAATAATTTCTAATTTATCAAGGAGTCATGAGGATGGGGGCAGAAGCTAACACCAAGGGCTCAATAGAAAATGAATGTTTAGAAAATAATGACAACATATGTACAAATATGCTTGAAACAATTGATGTATGAATTTTTATAAGAGCTTTAAGAGCTCCCAATAAAATGATCTTTCAATAAAAAATTTTAAAATCTATGACTGAATTTAGGTGTACAAATTAAAGAAATTACTATTAAAATGCCTGGAATTGGCTAATCAATTAGTCTTTAACCAAAACACGTGGGTTTATAGACTGTACTGAGCATCATTAGGCAAAGAAAGGATGATAATGGAATTTAGTAAATATTCTCTATTCTCAGTAAGACAATCCAAGCTTCCCATGTGAAATGGTGTTATTAGTTAAAACAAAAAGCAAAAACCTTCCACCTTGTTTATCCTTAGAGATTTCTTTTTTTTTTTTAATCATTTTATTAGGGGCTCATACAACTCTTATCACAATCCATACATACATCAATTGTGTAAAGTGCATTTGTCCACTCATTGCCCTCATCACTCTCAAAATATTTCCTCTCCACTCAAGTCCCTGGCATTAGGTCCTCATTTTTCCCCTCCCTCCCCGCTCCCCACTCCCTCGAGCCCTTGATAATTTATAAATTGTTATTTTGTCCTATCTTGCCCTGTCCGATGTCTCCCTTCACGCATTTTTCAGTTGTCCGTCCCCCAGGGAGGAGGTCACACACAGTTCCTTGTAATCGGTTCCCTCTTTCCTACCCACTCTCCCTCTACCCTCCCAGCATCACCACTCACACCACTGGTTCTGTAGGGCTCATCTGCCCTGGATTCCCTGGATTTCCAGTTCCCATCTGTACCAATGTACATCCTCTGGTCCAGCCAGACTTGCAAGGTAGAATTCGTGTCATGATAGTGGGAGCGGGGAGGAAACACTTAGGAACTAGAGGAAAGTTGTGTTTTTCATCATTGATACATCCCACCCTGACTGGCTCATTTCCTCCCTGAGACCCCTCTGCAAGGGGATCTCCAGTGGCCTACAACTGGGCTTTGGGTCTCCACTCTGCACTCCCCCTATCATTCACTATGGTAAGATTTTTAGTTCTGATGATGCCTTATACCTGATCCCTTTGACACCTCATGATTGCATAGGCTGGTGTGCTTCTTTCATGTGGGCTTTGTTGCTTCTGAGCTTGATGGCCGCTTGATTACCTTCAAGCCTTTAAGACCCCAGATGCTATAATTTTTGATAGCCGAGCACCATCAGCTTTCTTCGCCACATTTGCTTATGCAACCATTTGTCTTCAGTGATCCCTTTGACACCTCGTGATCACACAGGCTGATATGTTCTTCCATGTGGGCTTTGTTGCTTCTGAGCTAAATGGCCGCTTGTTTACCTTCAAGCTTTTAAGACCCCAGACGCTATATCTTTTGATAGTCAGGCACCATCAGCTTTCTTCACCACATTTGCTTATTCACCCGCTTTGTCTTCAGCTGTTGTGTCGGGTCATTCCCTATTTTAATCACTGTTCTAAAACTACTACTGAATACAATAGTAGAACCACAGGTGAAAGCCTCCAACAGAGGGCTTAATGGCCCAAAGAAAAGCTAAGTGTTGCCAAGAACCTAAAGGCACATGCAGGTCCTCCTGTTTGACATTGGATGTTACACTTACATGGCCCCTGTTGAATCTCTTGGGGACCAACAGTAAAGCAAGTTTAGAACTTCACATCTTGAGATAGCTATAGCAAGATGCTGATCCAATGTGGCTCCCAATATCTTCTGGTTCCCTGGCTCACCTGAAGAGGAAAACACACTACAGAGGATGTTGGAACGGAATTGCTTTGTGTCGTTTCTTCTAGAGCAACTGCCTGAACGTTTTGGCCCAAACTATTAGGAAGTCTGGAGATGACACACTGGAGGAGCCCGTGAAAAGCAGAATTCACATGAAAAGGGGGAATCGGGAATCGGAGAGCCAAAGACAATCGTCATAGGTAAATCGGGTTTCTACTCCGTAGGTAAGAGGAGACAGTGAAAGGAGAGGAGAAGAAACCACACAGACTCACATTTCTCTGTCCACTCCCTCACCTCAAATACCACTAAAAATTCTGGAAGCACCTAAACTTTAGGAGAACAATTAGGGAGTGAATAAGTAAGATTACTTGGAAGGTTTAAGCTTTTGGTCAAGTCTCCCTCCCCAGGTGATGTGACCTTATTATCACAGCAGGGAAGCTACCCCCACCCCTGCCCGAGACCACACCCCACACGCACCCTAAGAAAAGATCTGGTGGAACACAGCTTGAAGCAATACAGAACGAGGAAATACATTTAATTTTGTACAAAAATGGAAGTCACAGGACAATATGCCGCACTGACAAACTTCCCTCAGTAAGGTTTTCCAAAAGTGTAGGAACAGATTGCATGAAATAAGAAATCTGATTCCAAATAAATAATAAAAATAATTTTAAACTACACAACACAAGTTACCTACTTCACCCCCCTATGAAATAGGACTCGTGGAAAGATAATCTTTAAAAAAGAAAACAAAAATAGCAGGAGCAAGTCTGATGTATATTATCACACACAAAAAAAAAACCCTCAGAAGACTATAATGGTAATTTAATTTTTTCTTGAAACAATTTATCTATATTTTAAAGTAATATAGTTATCCTACTGTAATCACGTCATATCATAGGGTAGAAAATCACTCTTTCTAAAAGTATTTCATTTTAACGAGCATTAATTGACCTGTCTGACAAGAAGACCAGAATGTTAAGTCTGAAAGTAAGATTGGAGAAGCAGTGAGGCCCTTACCTGACGCGGCTGCTCGTTCATTCGCTGTGGGTCTGATTTCACTTTATTACTAGGATGATTGGTGACTTTGGTTACTGGCTGTTTGAAAATCGATGCTGTTTGTCTAATTGGCAATGTTGTATTCAAGTCTGGTTTACCCTGTGAACAACAAGGGTGTTCTCATTAATAAGTTAAGTATTACAGATCAACACAAAGAGATTCATTCTGCTTCTAAAGTCAGTATTCTTTATTTTAATTCATATTATTCCAAACATCTGTTTATCTCAGCACTTTTAACATTCTAAAGTTTAAAGAATTTTATGAAGGACCTACACAAAATTTTCTCATAATAGATGAAAACGGTTCTTTGTTTTGTTGGGGGTTTTTTTGTGTATATATATACAGTGTAAGAACATTCTCTTAATTTGATCAGCCAGACACTTTCTAATAAACAAATATGTTTAAGGCGGGGCTATGCAAAAATATAGAAAAGGACATGAGAACTTTAAGGCCATCGGTCAGGTAGCAATACTTTCTATGAGCTGATAATGGAGGAAAAGAGTAGTGAGCAAGGCATCAAAATATAAACCGTCTGATGAGTGGTAAGGAGCCCAAGCTTATGTAAAACCACCTAAGTCAAATACACATATGGTCATTAGAAGTGGAATTTCTAATTCCAGCAAACAGAATTCCATTTTGAAACTCTGAAACACTAGAAGTATGCCTCATTTAAAAAAAATGTATTGCATTTAGTTATTTTAAAGAAGAGACTTAGAATTGAGGCTTCAGAAAGCCAGTTCTGCCATATGTTTAATGAGCGTATATGCTGTGCTCTCAGAGGAGCCCTTTTGGCATCGTGGCTGCAAGTGGGGCTGCTACCCCACGGTCAGCAGTGGGAACCACTAACTGCTCCGCTACAGACAGTCAGGGCTGCTTGTCCTGTAAAGGGTTACAGTCTCAGAAACCCACAGGGCAGTTAAACCGACCCTATCCTTACAGGGTCGCTATGAGTTACTTGGGGATTGATAGGCTGTGTTCTAGGGAAATCAAAATGTGGCAAAAAAGTGCTGGCAAGTTGATTTGCAATACTCTTTGCTGCTGCAGCAAGCAAAGAGAGAGAAAAGGAACAAGATCTTCGATTTAATTATCGTGTTTCCTGGTGTGGGCAAACACAAATAATTCAAGGATACATACATCTGAAAACGATATGCATCTGATATTAAAAACAGAATCAATAAATGTACGGAAAATTCTATGAACTTAGGTCTTTATCACTATCTCCTGAGAGAATTTGCAATGGAAACTTCCAATTTGCAATGGAAACCTCCAGAGCTGAAGCAGTGGTTGGAAGAGACAAGCGTACGTGAGAATTACACAGAGGCCCGCTGAAGCTCAGACTACTGAGCGCCACGCCCGAGAGATGCTGAGTCCCACGAGGCCTGGGAATCTGCATTTCTGCGAAAGTCTCAGGTAACATGGGTCCTGCTGTTCCTGAGACCAGCCTTGAAGGCACCCACTGTTCTAAAACAAACATTGCAAATTGGTGGCAGCTGGGCCAAGTGTGCCCCAAAGATGTGTTTTGTTTAGTTTTTTCATGAAACCAACATTTTAAATTGTTGAGCCTTCGCATAACAATCCAGGATTCTAGGTTCTCTTGGCGCCTGGAGCATCTAGAAATACTGGACTTGGCTTGGCAACAGGCTACGATTGATTTGTCTTGGCGGCCCCACAGAGGGTTCGAGCAACCCCATTTGCAACCTCCTTCCACAGTCGTGTTTGCATTACCTGCCTGGGCCCTGTAGGTACTGTGTGCAATCGCTGCTTAAACATTATCACACCTCGAAAGAAGAGCCCACCAGTCCCACTGCCTTCCAGCCATTTCAGTCTTAAGACCCTCCAGGGCAGAGTAGAACTGGTTCCTTAGGGTTTCCAGGGCTGCAAGTCTTGACAGACACACATTGCCACATCTTTCTTCAGAGGAGCAGTCGGTAGGTTTGAACTGCCAACGTTTCAGGTGGCAGCCAAGCACTTTCACCACCACGTGACCAACAGAACGATAATCATCATCATAAATAAAATGAACAATTATTCCCATTATGGTGTTACTTGTGGTGTTAATTGCGGGAGTACTTGGACCCCAATTGAATGGGCCCTATGAACCTTCCCTCTTTACTGGGCAGGCATGACCTGTCTTTTCTCAGGTTTCACCCTAGGATGTGCTTACCTTTCAGAGATATCGCCTGTCAGATGAGTATCAATAGCATTCCCTGGCACCCAGGCTGCTTATCTTTACATAGCTGAAAAGAGATCATTTCATGCAAAGTACACAAACCTGGCCAGCAGGCTACAAAAGAGCCATCTAGGACACCATCTCTAAGAACAGAATGTTCAGGAATGTGTACTTTCGAAAAAGTTCCTGGTGACTCAGCAGGTTTTATGAGTATCTATTACAATCAGAAGGTTCACTTAAGCCATACATGAATCTCTCTCTCTCTCCGTCTCTCTCTCTCTCTCTCTCTCACACACACACACACACACACACACACACACACACACACCCTCTAGCATAGTTGATGCTTTGTAATCCTAAAAGGCTTGTCAGGAGAGGCCAGTCCTGGAGGAGGACATCATGCTTGGTAAAATGGCGGGGCAGTGGAAAAAAGGAACCCCACACGAGATGGATTGACACAGTGTCTGCAACCAGGGGCTCAAACGTAACAATTGTGAGGATGGCACAGGACCGGGGGCTGTCTGGTTCCACTGTGCATGGGGCTGCTTTGAGTCAGAACGGCGCCATGGCAGCTAACAACACAGAAGTTTAACACATAAATGCTTCTAAGTGGAATGAATGACTCTCACTGACACTTGACTAACTCCTTGCTATTGAGTTGATTCTGACTCATAAACCCACTGCCACCGAGTCAATTCTGACTCACAGCAGAACTGCCCCTGTGGGTTTCCAAGACTATCATGTTACTGGAGTGGAAAGCCTCGTCTTTTACCTGCGGAGCGGCTGATGGTTTTGAACTGCTGACCTTGAGCTAGCAGCCCAATGCGTAACCATTATGACATCAGGGCTCCTCTTCCTGACCCCTAAATAATAATAAACTCAATGAGTCTATGCCGACTCAGAGGGACCCTACAGAACAGGGTAGAACTGTCCCTTGAGTTTCTCCAGGTTTCTGGGATTTTAACTCTTTATGGGAGTAGAAAACCCTGACTTTTTCCCTCAGTCCGGGATGGACTTCGGGATCGCAGCCTAACCTCACCATGGTTCCTTGTTTCCTGACACTCAAAAACTCAGTGCCTTCAAGTCAATGCCGACTCATAGCAACCCCGCCATATTTGCTAGACTGTAACTGTTTCCAAGAGTAGAACCCCACCTCCCACCTCCATCTCCTCCCACCCCCTCCCCAGTGCTGCAGGTGGTTTGGAAATAGCAACCTTGAGGATCACAGCCGAATAAGTAACCACTACAGGAGTTAGGTGTAATTAGTATGCATTACTATATATCACTAAACAATATCTTGCTTAGTGCTTAATGTCTCTCAATAAGACAGGTAAGTACTTGGGGTTAGAAGCAAATATGGCGGTCAGTAGAACAGAAGTACATTGTAATCCTTAGGATGCAAACAACTTAGAGTCTGTAAAACTATTGATCAGCTATCGATCCTAAGGGAAGATCCAATTCTTTCATGAACTTGTTTTGCTTTGGTGATTGGGGTGTGTGTGTGTGTGTGTGTGTGTGTGTGCACTCTTTTGCACAATAAATAAAAATTAGAAGCGAAAATGTTCAGAGCACACAATGAACTTCTGCTGTCTGTCATGAGACCTTCCACTCCCCAATAGTTGGGGACTGCAGACAGAATTCCAAACCTGGCTGCGTTACTCCACCCCCAGTCTTATCTTGGTCTTTTCTTGAGTTTTTGTTTTCCTCCTTCAACTAACTTGACATCGGAAGACAGGATTTTTCCAGTCACTTGGTGCTTAAAAACAGTCTCATGTGCGGCTGAGTAATCTGTAAAGCTGGGCTAACAGGTTTCCCCAGAAGCTGTCGCTGTAATTGTATTGCTACGCACCCCCAGGGACAGCCAAGCAGTCAGGCCATGCCCAGCTGTGTGTCTGAATTTTTCTAAGTAACTGCCAATCTCATGAAATTGGGGCTTAAAACGCACACACTTTGAAAGGGGGACAAGATTAAAGCTATTTGAGTAATTGAACTCTTCCCCTTTCAGTAAATGAAAACATGAAAATTTCTTTTATATCATAAATGAATAAATATACATTCTAAGATTAAAACTGAATGTTCAACTTTTGAAAAATCTGAAATCTATGAGTGAAAAATTTAAAGAATCTTTTCTTTTGCCATCATTTTCTTTCTTTCTTTTTTTAAAATCATTTTATTGGGGGCTCATACAACGCTTATCACAATCCATACATACCAATCCACACATATCAAGCACATTTGTACATTTGTTGCCATCATCAAAGAATCTTATATTAACATATCTTTATACTACGCTAAAAGTTTTTAAATTAATTCAATTTTTGAGGATCTCGCCTAACCCTCAAAGCCCTGGAAGACATACAAAATTATTTCTTTTATTATTTTTTAAACTTATATTTCTTCTCTTTCCAACAAGTATCTGAGGTGTCCCTTCGGAAACTCACAGTGGACAAACATGTGATCAAAATAAATTTTAAGACATAGAAAATTGAGAACAAGAAAAATTCCCTTGAAAAGTCCATAAGGATACTAAAGCTGAGCTTCAAATGTGGATCTGAACTTTGGATGAGCAAAAAAAGAAGGAAGATTAAATTATACAACTATAATATCAGAAAAGAAAAAGCATCCAAAATAATTAGAATAAAAGCTGCCCCTGATATACACTGGGACAGATAGGAACTGGAAACACAGGGAATGTAGGACAGATGATCCCTTAAGGATCAGTGGTCAGAGTGGCGATACCGAGCGGGTGAAAGGAGAGTGGGTTGGAAAGGGGAACCCATTACAAGGATCTACATATAACCTCCTCCCTGAGGGATGGACAACAGAAAAGTGGGTGAAAGGAGATGTTGGACAGTGTAAGATATGACAAAATAAAAATTTATAAATTATCAAGGGTTCATGAAGAAGAGGGGAGCAGGGAGGGAGGGGG